GTGACCTCGTCTAAATTTGCGTTCGACAAAATGGGTCAGTTGAGAACACCTGCAGCTCTCACTGTAAGCTAAACGCACTCAATAATGGAAAATCAGTTAGATGAATTATGGTGACTCACTTCTTATAGGGCTGATTACCCTCAATTTGGAAGTCCTGATCCACCTCTAGGATATGTAAAAGCCGGCCTGATGGAATTGGTTCCAAGAGAGATTCAATCATCAAATCGACAGTATAATGATTCGCTTGTTCTGGATAGAGGAGAGATTCAGGATAGAGGCTACGAGGGTAGGGACGTGGAAGAATTAACAAAGTCTTGCATTTTGGATCCTTCCAACGCATGAGGGAGCGATGGCTTGGCAACAGACGATTGACTTTCGACACGCCTTTAGGGGAAGGTCAGGAAACAGCTCGTAATTAAAGTGCTGGCAGATTAGTAAGACTGCTTCACTACATCAGTAAAAGTTTGGATACAATTTTTCAGCAAAGGATGAAACGACTCCTGCTTTGGAGTTGCAAAAGTCGTTCCCCTGTAGAGGTGAAGGAAAATTAGGCTTGTTTAGCTGCGATACTAACCAACAAAGGAATCAGCTTCTCTTACGGCCTATTTAAACGCTTTACTGCATATTTACTCGTTCATTTGGGACTTGCAACATAGACAGCCCTATTAAAATGGTTACGATGCGTAAATGGTGTCGCCTTAAGGTTCAGCTTTACCATACTTTCGACATTGCTATGGCGACAAAAGCCTCACACCCTCCAAGCTCTTCTTAGGCGTAAGGCACAAAAACGGTTAATTGTAACAAACTTCACAATGAACTACCGACCTCCAGGTCTGTCCTTAAGGTAAGGCTTGAACTTCGAGCCGATTGGAGTCTTGTAGGCTTCGTCCATGTCCGGATCGATAAGTTTATTTCCTGTCTCCTCGTCCAAATCGATTATCTTAGGCATGCTGGAACAACATGGCAAGTTACGTAGAAACAAGCGACACAACTCTCTGCCTAATGTGAGGAATTTCGGTCTTTTGTAGACACAAAGAGCGTGAAACATGCGAGCTCGGAGGTCCTCCACAGTACGACTTGCCATACGACCGACACAATCATAACCGTAGGAGACGGAGCATAGATAGTCCCGGGTGGCTTTTGCGATGTTTTTGCTATAGACGTAAATAAAGAAGTGTAATCTTTCCTGACCGAGATTCACTTGTACAGTTTCGCTTTCACATTACGGGTATTCAGATTTTCTGTGGATAATCTAAACAAAATGGTAAGACATGATGGCAGTAAATGTGAAATTTTGTTAAACACCCCGCATACCTCGAAAATATTCTAGGTTCAGCAACGTAATGTTGTGCGTGTAGCTAAAAGTTTTTTTCTTGCAAAAAGAGCAGGAAAACTTAAAAGGTAATTTAAAAGGTTATGAGTTGGTGATTTTTCATCATTACAAGTTTATATTTAAGGAACCGTATTTCATAGATAGTGTTTTGTTGTTGGCTAGACTTCTATCTCTTTACTAATGTGTTGAGTTTTTGGGCCATGTGGTTCAAGCCCATGCGTCACTGTTTTAGACGTTCAATCTAACTTATGCCTAGTATCTGTTTGATCGCATAGTTTATTAA